GATTTAGTTTTCTTGAGATATTTACCTTAGGTTTGAGCTTAGGATGTCTTGAGATTCCTAGTTTTCCTCTTGGTGCAGCCCTCTAAGAGAAGAAATTACGTCTTAAAACTTGTTGAAGAAAATAAAAAGAATGGACCCAAAATAACACATTTCAAACTTAGAGCTTTCTTACCTAAACCTTCTTGAAGATTTGGATCCTCAACAAAGAATTAAGATGGAGGATTGTGAGGCTTGATTGAGGAGAAAATTTTGAGATAAATAGAGAGAGAGAGAGAGAGAGAGAGAGAGAGAGAGAGAGAGAGAGAGAGACAAAACTACTATAAAGAGGGAGAAAAGAGGAGTTTTCTTGCACTTTTGGCTTAAGGGAGAAAATGGAAAAGAGTAGAAATTGATTTCACCCCCATCTATTTAAAGACTAAGCTCATGGAGACTAAATTGCAACAATTTTTTTTGGGCACAAAAATCCCCATAGGGGGCCGGTTGTACAAGGGGGAGGAGAGAGGAAAATTTTGAACTTACTTTACACCTCTTTGTCCATAAGTAGTGAGGAAATGATTCTTCTTTACATCCTATTATCCAACATGCTAAACTCTAATTCCCCCTTTTTGCCTCTTCCGTGAGAACCTAACACTAACCCAAGGTCCTTCTATTTCCTCTTGCTATATATAGTATTATTTCTTAATGCATGCTATTATCTTGACTTGATGGCTTTCTTGTATAAGAGAACAAATTTTTTCTCTCCTTTTCTCTTAGGGTGGCACTAGAGCTGCAAGTTTGGGTAGGCTAAATGAGTCGGTCTGAGGCCCGACATTATTGGCTCAGTGCCAGCCCAGCCCAGTCCACTTAAGTGTTTGGGTCGGACCGGGCCGGGTCAGTCTGAACACATCATTTTTAAAATTTTTTCTTAAAATACATTGTAAATGTCATGCCATCTTGGCACAGCCAAGTGGAAATAATGGGTCAGTCTGGCCTGACTTGAAACTCCCATTTAGGCTGTCGGGCCCATAGCGGGTGATAACTCTAAGAAATTAGAGTTATCTAATGGTTTTGTAGCTCAAAAGTTACTTGACCAAGAGTGATTTTATTGGTTTCTTTTGTGCTTTAACTTAAAATTTTCAAGTTTTACACTTACTATGGCTGAATTCTGTATTTATGCTCTTCATGAAGTAAATTGGAGGATTTTGAATTAAAATGAGGTAGAAAGTTGACTAAGACTTGTTTGTGCACTTTGCAGGAAATTCTTGGGCTGAATGTTACAACATTCTGCTGCAACATTCTGGGAACAGCTGGCACGTGGATAACATCAGCGCACTACTTGGAGGAAGCAGATAAAAAAACCCGTGTGAGCTGGTTGAGCGGGTGTCATTGTGGTCCACTGCATCCATCATCAAGTGACATCTCAGCCCTTTTTTTGTCCTAAGAAGGAAGTGTTTTTTGAGAGAGAAAAGCAGCCACCAAGGGCAAGAGAAAAAAAATAGAAGGAAATAGAAAACACAGTACCACTCCTTCAAAAAAAAAAAGATAACACAAAGAGTACCTGCTCGAGAGAAAAAGAAGAAAGTACCAGAGACGTGAGAGAAGGGAAGAAGGCAGGAGGTTGGAGGAATCAAGGCCAGACAAAGAGAAATCCAAGATCCAGTTGAAATTCTTTCTTCTTTCTGTTAGCTTAATTCTCTTTCGTTATTTGGATATTAATCTAGCCATGGAATATTCTAGAATTTAAGATCTTGTAAATCTCAGTATGAACTAATTTGTTTTAGCTAGGTCTACTAATGGAACTAAGGTTGTAAGATTGACAATTTGTTTCTGAGATGCTATTGAGTTACTATTCTTGTTCATTCATGTGTATTAATGCATATTTCTATTCTTGACTGGCCATCAATTTTAGGATACAAGATTAAGATTAATACTGGAAAGGCTAGTTTTAATCAGATCTAACATGAATGATGCTTGTTCAATTACCTTGCTTAGTTGTTGATTAGTGGATGATGTAGGAATATATTATTCACCTTGCACAACTTGAAGAAACCTGAGCTTAGATCTACATTCTGAGAACTAGATTCACATAGGAATATGCTGAAAATGGTTTAAAGAACCTTAGTCATAATTTATTCAGAAGAATTTTATGCAGTAAAGGAGTTTATGTTAACAGGGTAGTAAATGATGTAGCATTTTGGTAACATTTTCCGTTAGACTTGTAATTAGAAGTTAGGAGACCTAGCTCATTTTCATCATTGATTTACAAACCATAATTACGATGTTGCTATTTTTAGTCACTTTTGATTGCATTTATTTTGTATCCATTTTTTTTACATCATTTTAGTGAATTTTTGTTAAACTCTTTCTTTACTTGATTTGTTGATTACATAACTTCCAACACATATTTTGGGTGATTCAATCTCTGTGGGACGATATATGTACTTCGGTACACTTTATTACCTTGTACGATCTATGCACTTGCGGATTCACACAACAAGTTTTTAGCGCCGTTGCCGGGGATTGAAATCATTGAAAGTATTTATAGAAGTTATTTTGCTTTCATTTTGTTTACTTTATTCTCATTCTCTTGGCTTGCGGTCACATTTCAAGTTATTGGAATTCTTTGCATGAATAACCAGCGAGACCGCGAGTTGCTGCCCTTAGATCAAGAAATTGAAAGGACATTCTTAGCTAGGAGAAGGGCGCAACAAGGCTTGGCTGTTGTCAAAGGTATGGCAGAGGCAACAGCAGCAAATTTGGGAAACAATGGGCAGCAAGTAAATGCCAACAATCCTGTCCCCAAGCCAGTACTGGTAGATGACAGAGACAAGACTATTCGTGAATATGCCGTGCCTATTTTGCATGGACTTAATGCCGACATAGTGAGGCCAAAAATTCAGGCACTTCATTTCGAGCTCAAGCCGGTGATGTTCTAAATGCTCCAAATCATCGGGCAGTTTAGTGGGATGCCAACTGAAGATCCTCACCTCCATCTTAGACAATTCATGGAGGTGAGTGATACTTTCAAACTACCAGGGGTGACTGAAGACGCATTAAGGTTAAAGCTATTCCCTTATTCCTTGAGGGATAGAGCTCAAACATGGCTGAATTCTTTGCCATTGGATTCAGTTGGGACATGGAAAAATTTGGCGAAAAAGTTCCTCATGAAATACTTCCCTCCAACCAAGAATGCCAAGCTCAGAAATGACATTACTGTTGGTTGCCGAATCGAATCCGGCTGCGGAAGCGTGGTGGTGCGGGGGGAAGAGGCGGATCGTGTATAACAAAAATTTTCATAAAACTTTTGAGATACTCTATAGATTATATTAATTTATGCACGAATAAATTAATCTCATTAATTCATTTATTAAGAACTCAATCAGGAAAAATACCTGGAAGCCGACTCGGATGATAACTTGAGTTCTTTGACCACGAACAGTCCTTGCTCCAATCTTTGTGTTTAGAAAACCAATGTCTTCCACGTCAATTCCTATAATCCACGAAGACGTGTGTGTGGGCACACATGAGACAAAACGGGTTACAATAAACACTCGAATTTCCACAAACACCATCGCATGCACGATGTGGAATTTTTGGAGAAAAATTTTTCCTTCCTTTCTCTCTTGAGAATTTCGGCCAGCCTTAACTCTTAGGGCTGAAAAATTGTTTCCAAAATTTCTATAGAGAAATTTCGGCTACCTCTAAAATTAGGGCAAAAAACCATTCCGAAAATTGTCTCAAAAATAGTATTTATAGAGTAGAAGTCAAACTTCTAGAAGGAATCCAATCTCTATCTCTAAGATAAATCTTGTTAATTATCTCTTATTTGAATTTTAAACCAAAACTCCTCTTTTTCTCTATCCTATATGGCCGGCCATTCTAAGGGGATTCTCATCCCTGTGTGGCGCCAATATCAGATAGGGAAGGAAGAGAAAATCATCATTTATCCTGTAGTTCAATTTTGACTCAAATTTAAATTCCAATTTAAGTCAAACTTAAATTAATTTGAATTCTAAATTGAACAACTTATCAAATAAATTTAAATTGATAAATCTAGATGTGTTCAAATTCAAATTTAAAAAATCACATTATTTAAATAATAATTAATTCTCAATTAATTATTTCCAAGTATTTAATTTTAGAATTCCGTAATTCTAAAATT